ATCCGTGATCTGGGTGGTCTTGAATGGCCTGGAAAGATCTTGAAGGAAGCTGCGGTATAGGTTTTCAGGTAGTTCTAAACATGGCTCAGCTACATGGACGCACAGTGAATCGAATTCAGCATCAAGCTGACTTCGAATTTCTCCTTGGATCTGTTGAATTCGCTTCCAAACTTGCATGATATGGTGGACAGAGGTATAAGACTTGAACGAGGCAGAGAGCTGTTTCACAGCCTAAGCAATAGTGTCAATGGCGTCGAGGGCGAGAGTATGGAATTCACCGACTGCCAATGAATGGGCGACTTCCGCGTACCTCTTCTCCTTCACCTGATCCTTCCAGTTGGGTGAGAGCGTTAACTGCGAGGGAATGAATTATTTGTAGTAAGGCTGCCAAGACCCTGGGCTGCTCACCAAGCATTTGCAACCGTTTCAGCGTTGTCATACTCAGAATAAGATTTTTTTTCGCGAGATCCAGAGCTTGTATATCCTTTGTGATATTTCGCACTACAGCCTCTGATTCCGACGCTTTCTCGCGTATGCGCGACATTTGCCCGAGGAGATCCTGCAGGAGAAGTTTGAACAACCAACGCGTATTCAGAGGAGAAAAATCCATACGGAGATCATTTCTTGAATGAGTTGCATCCTGCCTGGATCTTGATCCCGCTTCAAAACACCCTGAAGTGCATCGATTTCGGCCTGAAGTTCGCGTTCATCCTGCGCAAGCTTCGCCTGAACAGCACCCAAGCGAGCCAACGAAGCCTCTGTAACGACTCAAGTTACGCAGCAGAAACAGAATGCACGAAAGTACAAACCATCCGGGAAGAGCTGGTTCAAGACGTCCACCGGGTTGAAGTTGTTTGAGAGGTCGTCGAGAGGATCGTCGCTCTGCTCTGGGTTGAGATCGAGGACGCGTTGTATTGCTAGAACCAACTCTTGAGGCAGTTCCACGTCTGCATGGCGTCTTTGCATCGGTTGACAATGAGGCCGTCGAGGAACGAGCTAACGTCGTGTGCGCGTAATATTCTGACCCAATTGCCAAATCAGGAAGACCTGGTGACTTGAAGAACTTGTCAAAGAGCTCCAGTGCACGTACAGTACAAGCTCCGAGCTTGGTGACCCTTGAAACTTGAATCAGGCATATTGACGCTGCCATATCTGGGGTTTCACTTAAAGCAAGGGTGAGTCTCATCTCGCTCAGTCTTGAAAACCCCCACGTTCAAGATGTCCTTAGGTGACTTCATAGTTTCATTTGGGCTCCTCCACACCACAGCGCAACATCAGCCGCCTCTTGCTCACGTCTCCGAGCAGCCCCAAATGACAGAGCCGACTGACAATACGAAGAATCAAGTCATCTCGACGTTTCATGACCATCCTAGGTTTATCTGCGCAAATTGCTCCGCCGTACTTGTACGCACTGTCACTAGACTTCGCCCTGATGGTACGATCGTGACACACTAGGCGCTTCAAGACGAGCTGATCAGCAAGTCCTTCTCCGGAAGGGAGGGACGAGGATTGTATGTTGTCTGCGGACAAATGGAATATCACGATGGTTCACGTTTAACCCTCTTTAGCCTTATGCATAGCGCCATCAATGTGAAGCTGGGGAGGAGAGAGGATCGGCCACTTCTGTAATCCTCGCTTTATTCCTCACATGCTCCGGAGGTCCTTATTGGCATGCCCAGAACTGGTGTACACACAGTCGCCGACGTGTTTTGTCTTGGCTGCAATGACCGTATCGGCTGGTACTACCACAAGGCTTCCGACCAATCCCAGAAATACAAAGAGGGTGAGTGCCTTGAGTGTCCTGGTTTGACATGCGACAATGTTTCACAAGGGAAATATCTGCTTGAACGAGAGAAATTGGTGAAGGAGAACAATTGGAAGCTAGACGAATAATCACAAGTGAGATAATAGTCCTTCTTACCTCCTCCGCCTATAATCTCACTTTTGATAATTCCAAAGTTGTAGGATTTATCTGTAGGACGTACTCCGTATTGTGGTTTCTAGGAAAAACTTCAACGGACCTTGTATTTTAACTCAATGTAAGTATCCCCCTGAGTAGTCATGCTACCCTTGCAAAGGCACGTTCCACAAGCTCCCTCCCACTTTCTTCCCAGTCGTCCCAGCACAATGCCCACTCATTACTATCTCTACCTAGCAAACCGTTTCCTGCATCACCCGTCCTTGCTTCCTTCCCCACTTTCTGGTATCCCTCGAGCACTGGCAACACGTATTTCCATCTCAACACACCCTCTAGTTTGAATCCCATTCGTTCGGCAACATTGTTAGAGGTAGCGTTGACTGGAGACGCAGCCCACTTGATTTTTCTGAAACCGAGCCCAGAAGGTGGCAGTTCAAGGATATATTTCATCAGTAAACCGACAGCATGAGAGCAGACGTGGGTCCGTTGGAAGGCAGGAAGAACGATTGCGGGACCGATCTCTGTGACGAGCCTCGTTCTGTCAGTCCCCAAGAGCCCGAACAAGCCCGCTAGCGAGCCTTCCCACTCAGGGTGATCGGAGTCGGGATGCGTCGTATCGATCGCTGCGAACAGGCAAGTACTTTCACCCCGCCGACACTTCTCGACGAATCGAAGGAAGTCGGTTGGGTGCTCGAGAACGATGGGCATGTGTTTAAACATGGATTCGTGTCCGCGGACACCATCCAGGTAGGCGGCGGTATGAACCCGAGGGATGAACGGGACGAGTCGCAGTTTGCTCGTAGATAGCTCTGAGGGGATTGGAAGGACGAAGTTGAGATCGTATGGTTCTGGGCCATACAACTCGTTCTCGAGGATTGCTGGCTGGGGTGCCTGGGAGTAGCTATTAACGAAGGCCATGGTGGAATACAAGCGCCTCTTCGGGAGCAACCTCAACACTCCGGAGTATTTTATAAGTGTACCGGCATCCAATATTTGACTCGATCTGACTCACTGGCCCCATGCCTGATAAATGGGCATAACTCATCGGATCTACCTTGTCCCGAGCACTCGGATTGACTCGCTTTTGGTAAGTCGGCGAAAAAGTCGAGAAAGGGGTATCTTACCATATACAGGTTACTACACCACCGTCCTTGATCACTGCATAGACGAGCATGACTCGTATCACGAACATCAGCCGAAAGCGCAAATACTTGGAAGCAGGTTTTGCAACCGAAACGACCACAACGTCCAACGAACACCCTATACCCGAAGTAAATACCGATCAAGGAGATTCCTTGCACCCGAAGAAAAAACGGAAGAACACAAAGAAGCCAAAAGTAGATGGTGACGATGAACAAACGCCAGGTGGGACCGAGGCAGAAGGAGACATGAGCGTACAAGTCAGGGGAGAGGGACCGTCTGCTGGACGGAAGCAGGTCAGGATAACGAAAAAACCCGGGGGAGCAAAAAGTGGGCATCGTATTTCGACCTTTCACCACGGAAGCCTGATCGTCTCTTGCTAGGTGTTGCAATTAGTGGATACGAGAAGCGCACCGAGCATCGTCGACTCAAGAGAATATCAGACCGTCAAGCTGACACGGTATGTTTTGCGTGTCGCGAAAAAGGCCATGCTGCCAAGTACTGTCCCAAGGCAGGCGGAGAAAGCGGGAGTGGTCAGAAGAATGTTAACGCCACAGTTGGGATATGTTACAGGTTATTATTATTATTATTATTATCCCGAGGTGTCTCTCACTTCACGAGGGACAGGTGTGGTTCCACCAAACATACGTTATCTCGTTGCAAGAAGCCAGAAGATCCTCTCAACCCCTTCCCCTTCGCTTCGTGTTTCGTCTGCTCAGAGAAGGGTCACCTCGCTTCAGCGTGTCCGCAAAACAAAGAGAAGGGTATATATCCCAACGGAGGAAGCTGTAAGCTCTGTGGTGAGAAAACGCATCTTGCAAAAGACTGCGAACTTCGGAAGAAAGATGTGTCAGGGACGGCCGCAACGACGATCTTCGGCACTGGGGGCGGAGCTGGCGCAGATGAGGATGACTTCCATGCTTTCAAGCGAAAAAATGCTGGTGTATCAAAAGACGAGAAGAAGGAAGATCGGCGGAGAAAGCAGCTCGACGTGAAGGCGGGTTTGCATACAGGGACGGTGAAAGCATTTGGTAAAAATCGGGAGTCTGGCAAATTGAAAAAAGTCGTGTTCTTTTGATAATCATTTGCTAACGGAACAGAGGGCCTGCAGTTTATGGTGTCGAAGTATTGAGCTTGATTGTGAGTCCATATACGTCCCGCTGTCAGAAACTCCAAGGGCCGGTTTCCGAACACTACTCTCTAGCGACTTTGTTGATCACTTACTAACCCACCTCGCTTCTGGGAGGACTAGTTGCCCTTATATCGGATATTTGGCCAACTGAACAGACGCGTCCGTTTCTCAAGCTCGGGGGAGCCAGGGGTGGGTGAAAGCACAACGGTCATGTTGCACGTAGTATGATCATTCCCGCAACCAAACTAAAAGTTCTAATCTCGATGTCGATTCCTCGGGGAACGGCGGTGAATTCTACACCGTCCAAGCGGGTTCTGGCTGGACGAACGGTGGGTCGATGGTTTACCTCATGGACGATCTGGTCACCAGACTAGTTCTTTGGGACAAACACGGTGTGAACTCTGCAGAAGATAGTGTTTTCCGAGTCCTTCTCGAGAGCTTTGACAAAGACTCGAGATCGTGAACGATCCAGGGTTGACTGTACTGATGATCAAGATTCCCGGTGGCCCTACGACCAGTTAAACAACCATGATGATGTTGACAGTGAGCTCATACGACATCTTGCTCTGGAATCTAGCCTCTCATTTCGTATGATGTCGGGGATGTCACCCCAGTCTTCTGAGATGCAGCCTGGAACGCCAGCACCCCGAAAGCACAAGCCATATGTAGGATGATCGATCCCTGGTCCAGAATTCAAGATCGACGGAGCACTTCATAGCGGGCAACTTGAAGCAGCTGGAGTGCTAGCACTTTCGAACCGCGTTCTTTGCCTCGGAAACACCAGGGCTCCAGACCCACAAAAATGATATTAGGCCGTGCCAGGAATCGAACCTGGGTTTTGGGAAGATTAAATCAGAATCCCAAGTGATAACCGCTACACTACAAGGCCCTAATCAAATTTTCTCAGCCCGGTGGTACAATGCTGTGCGATGTAGGAAAGTAGGAACTGCGAGAGACAGCAGCAATGAATTGTGATAGGAATACGGGGACTGTCAAGTAGAGAACTGTATGTGGGGAGGATGAGGGGATACACAAGGATTGCGTCCGCAAGAGGGACATGAGCAGGTCACCGGGTTGGGTTATGATGCCCACCGAAGCTCGGCAATGAGTAGTACTATCGACGGGCAGACTATCGCCGAGCGCTAATCGAGAATCTCAAACGGGACCGAAGCGAAGAGTGAGAAACGCCGCCAAGTCGATCTCGCCCCTCGGGACGTTCAAGACAAGCGGTGATGGATGCAGCGCCATCATTGACAACCGACGCGAATGGTAAGCGGCGTGTTGTCGTCCACCACAGCGCCATGCTGAGCACGAACCCTTCCCACATCCTCATCGCCCGCAATTCACGCGGACACAATAACCCTTCTGCATCCCTCAGCTCGCCCACTGAAACCCACGCCGCAGCAGCAGGCATATTCCGTTCCTCCGGTTCGCCGCCATGGCTTCTCGAGGAGTGTGACAACGATGAACTCGTCACCGAACTCAACCTCTACGAGTCCGAACGAGCTATAGACATCGACGACACATTCACGCGTCGCAACGGAGGACTTCCCGGTACGGTCAAAATCGTCGTCGAGAGCACCACGTTCTGGTGGGTCCTCTCACTTGACTTGTCTTCCCGGACCATCGCACCACATGGGGAATCGGCGCTAATATCCCGCCACTTGGTAATAGGGCGCACAAGGAGGTCCTGTTCTTCGCTTCGCCGTTCTTCGAGGCTGCCTTGAGTGGCGGTTGGCTCGAGACCGGTCGTCCACCCTCCATGTCCTCCGTCATCACTATTTCCCAGCCACCCTCCGTACCGGGAAGGAAGCCCAATCCAGATGTGTCCGCTGCTGTGCCACTTACCCCTGAAGATGACGCCCACGACAGCAGTGCAAGCGACACCGCGTCCGACTGCTCGTCTCCCGTGGAGATCGAGAACCCACCCACAAGTGAGAGCGAGACGAGCGAGAGCGAACCCGAATCCGCAGCACCGACGAGCAAGCGCAAAACGCACGCTCGGGAAGCGAGTCTCGCTAAACTTCAGGGCACTGGGGACGCCAAACACGACTTCAAGGGGAAACACAAGGCCAACCTTTCAGGATCTCAAAACACCCTCGCCACCGTCAAGAGACGCCGGCGTACAGACGAACAGGACGCTGTCATCGTCCTCAAAGAAGAAAAGGCCAGTATCTTTCATGATTTCCTCAAATTTGTCTATCCACAGTACGTGTTGTCTATCGTAGACGCTCGTGTGCGACGATCTGACTCTGATGCAGCCTTCACTGCAATATCTCTTGGAACAATGTCGAGGGCCTCATGAACATCTCACACAAGCTCTGCGTTCCAGCACTCCAGCAAGAATGTCTGACCTTCCTCCTCACACATGCGGCCGGAAAGCCCATCAAAGCCATGCGCATCGCGGAGCTCTTTGAAGAAGAAGAGCTCTATCGCGAGTCGAGCCGCTTCGTGCTCGACAATCCTGGCGGATGGTCCGAGGAAGAGCTGAGTACACTCAGCCAAGAAACGCTTCTGAAACTCGAAAAGCGGTACGCCGACGCCGTTTTCCCACTTCTTTGACACATCGCTCACGCGATGGTTCTTGGTGCCTAGACGCAACTGGTTCCTCGAACGCGTCTTGAAACTCGGCTTGACCCCCCTGGCCAAGGAGTACCAATGCGTGCGTCGTGCCTTGTCCCTTTCCCCATGTACCGCTTCTTGACACTCTTCCCTTCCTTCGTTTCCTGTCGGCAGTGCCCGACGTGCCCAGATCCAGCCAACTGCGCTCGTTTACTTGAAGAAAAATGGAGGCAAGCGTACAATGCCGTCTTTAGATTCGGTTCGTGTCCCTCCCTCTACGGCCGTCCATCTCGGCTCTTCCACTCACACCCCTTAGGGCCATGCCAACCTTCGATGGTCTATCGCTACCTCCGAAACCTCGAGGGCGTCAGTCCCCCGTTGTCGCTCACCCATCTCGCGTGTCAGACGACCGCGAAAGCGTTCACAGCTACACGTGAGCGATGCACGCTTTTCGATTCCCCGCCCGATCGCTGACACCCCCTGACCAGTCTTTGATCGGATGTTCTCGCTCGGAATTCGAGGCGATGCGGCAGTGGCACCCCTTGGCACACGCGTCGCCGCTGTGGCCGCCGCCTCCGGCCCACGCCGGCATTTCCTCTACTGCACGCTCAAACCAGACAAGACCGCCCCTCGAACCCGCCGATCGCGCGAACTCTTTTGACGTATCGCCGTTGTCTTGATACTCACCCCTCTTTGCTCTGGATACCCGCTCGAACTCGTTTCCTTTCGTTTCGTCCTCGTTCATTTCCGTGTTTGGAGGTAGTAAATATTTCCGGATTCTGAATGTACCCTCTACGTCCACCCCGATGTGACCGACTTGATATCCATGGGAGGTATCCAAAAATAAAATAAAATAGAAATGGAAAGGAAAAGTGTGCGAGCGAGCGACAAGGAAAACGAATGCTAGCAACCACGCGTAACAGGGGAAGAAGCAGATATAACAACATCGAACAAAGAGACGAAATTCCCCAGGACGTGGAGATGTGTAAAAAAAGGAAGATAGATGGTGGGTGATCGCGCCCACAGAGAAGACATGCATATCAGCATGAAGCAGTCGAACATGGTCGTCCTGCCAAGCCCAGACACTAAGAGATGATAAATTAGCTAAAAAAGAACAAGGGGTCATACAGCATGATCGAATAGGTGAAATACAATAAAATAAAGAAAAAGAAGCCAAAGGGCATCCGATTAGAACAACGAAAAAAAGGACGCCGGCGAGCGGTCAGGGCTGGAAGATCGCGCACGCGTTTTCCACAAGCCACTCGACCATCAGCGCTTTGCCGGCCATGTCGCTGAATTCTGAACCCGGGTCTCTCGACCACATCAGTGTCGCTAAGTCGACGAGACCCCCATCAGCGTTAAACTCGGCGAGCTGATTAATTAATGCTTACGTCCGAAGACGACACCCAGGTTGCGCGCAGTCATTAAATTCATGTCGCTGTGCTCTCGCACGCTGCGTATTCATCATCATTAGTCAACACAGCCAAGAATAAGACAGCTTCGACAGACGCGTACCGGTGCAGGTGGAGCACGAGAAATCGTAGTGTGTGATAGTGCTCAGACGGAAGGCGGACAACGAGCTCTTGAAGCTGCTTCGTTTTCATTCCATAATCTTTCAGCCCAGCAGCCGCGATGAACTCCTCATGGAGATCGTACGTGAGGAGGGGTACCGGAAGCGAGCGGAAGTAGGTCTTGAGGACGGACGTTACCGAACAGATGTCGTTGAATCGGTCGGTATCCCTGAGATCAAAAGCTGTATAGTCTCCTCGGTCGAAGAGTTGCATGATCATTTTTGTTTGACTCGAGCCTCCTGTCTTGCGATAGATCCCCTCAAAGTCGAGCGCTGCGCACATGTCAGAGCAGTGTCTATGTAGCCAGAGGTGGGACTGACCCAGCGTCTCGACTGCTTCTATGCACTTTTCTACGACGATAGGAACCCAGTGATCGCCCCATCGCAAGTCAGTTTTGACCTGGTCAGCGAGGTCACGACCGAATATCGAGGGAGCTATCAAGTCGATGAGTCACAAAAGACCGTTCCTACGTCTCGCCGGACGTACGTTGTTGCGCGATGCCATTCAGATCCTCCCGCGGACGTGGAGGGTGCTGAGAACATGCCAGGTGGACTTGATTCACGCATCGCGAATGGACGTTGATGTGGCACGCTAAATGATGGTCAGGCAAGACCAAAGACGTATATGCCAGGACAACTCACTCGTGCATCGAAAATGTGACCCACCCCACAACTTTTCCCCACAATGATCGCAACGCGTGAACCGAAGGGCGCCCGCTGGTTGGAAATTATGTTCAAAGTGGTTCTTGCTCCTGGGATCCAAAGGTCCAAGCATATGGTCCTTCACCCGGTAGCCTGGCCACTTGAATATACCATGTTTTAGAGTGGGTATGGCGTCGCTAAAATCAGGCTTGGGTGCTCGGATCACCTTGATCTCACGATCGTCGACGATCGTCAATGTGCTGTGATACGATCCTGTGCTGAGAGACGGCTGTATGGGGAGCAAAAGTTCTTGGGTAGGTCGACCTTGATCAAACGACGTGCTCTTCTTTTCGCGCAACACAGTAGGCTGCAGCTTCTCGGGGGGGACATCCGGTGGTAGCGGCATATCGGACCGGGCGGCTTCCATCCGTCGAGAATATTGAGCACTGAGTTGGGCGAGTTCCTCGTTTCTGGCGTTGAGCACCGTAGTTTCCTCCAGGAATTGTTCGCGTGCCGACCTGAGTTCGGCGATTTCTCTGATGAGTGTCTCGCGTTGCTGGGTGAGTGGGATAAGTTCGTGTTGATATTGCTTCTTGATGTTGTCCAGCCGCATCGTCAAGGAACGGCTCAGCTGGGTAGCCGAGACTTCGCCGGAGGATACGCTACTGGGCGCACTGAATACCAGTGAGCATGCTGTGTGACGTTGGATACGATGCGATGCGTACCTCTTGGAGGAGCACAGCTCTTCGACTTCTGCTAACGTAACATCTCGTTCAGCTCTCAGTTTGGAGAGATCCTGTTCGAGTTGATCGAGGTTTCTAGTGAGCTCCTCCGACAGCTGTCGCCGTGCCTCCCGTCGGCTGTTCTCGCCTGTCAAGGCGGTAAGCTTGGCAGCTTGACCAGAAAGCAAAACCCGTAGACGAATGATCTCTGACTCCGCGTTACGGCGTGCCACGAGTTCACGGTCATATTCGTTCTGTGCCACAGTAAGTCCGTTTATATACTGCTCGCTCGCTCGCTGTCACGAAATGTCAACCCGTCACAGATGGCAGTGGATTCAATGTTTACCTTGGTTCTGTCATACTTGTCCTTGAGTTCCACATATTCCTTGTGTC